AGACGGTTGGAATTGAATCGAAGCGTCAGATGGTTACAGAACATCTGGACCGTCGGGAGCAGACGGCATCGGGCAGTCACAGGCAGGATGGTTTTGGCGGGAACAGTTACGAAACTGTACGCGCCGCACGGTTGAGAATGTATTTGAATAAGGGAATGTACCCCTTAGAGTACATGACTAGCCAGGTCGTTTCGTCTTCCCTGTACTCATATTTATATTTGATGTATTTGCATGTTTTAATCATCTCAAAGCATTTTACATTCACTCTGCTATTGAGGTCAAGGGCCCACCAACATTACTTTCCTGCGTGCGAACCTTCCTGGGTAGATCCTAGGTGGCGATCAACTTCTGATCGCAGCACAAATAAGCAACCCTAGAAGTTGTACCCCCTAGAGTGCAACTCACTACAGCCTATCACATCAATGTTCAACATTTGACATGAAGTGTTTCTACTGAAGTTCTGAACAAAAAGGTTGGCTACAGGATACGATCCCGGGTATACATCCTTCCGAAGACCACTTTACCGACCGGGCCACTCCCACCTGACTCATTTTGTAGCATGCATTTTTACTTTAAATATATATTTAGCGGGACAGAAATGCTAGGGCGGATTTGGGAGGGGGGGGGGTGGGGGGGGGGGTGTGGGTGTGTGGTACTCGCTTCAGGGTAAAACTCGTTATGAAGATCGGTAACCCTGAGTCATCAGTGTGCCTTAAATGTAAATCCTGGCATATCAGGGAAATCCTAGCTCTTGAAAAAAATACCCTAGGCCATCAGTGTGACTACCAAAAACCACCCTGATAATCAGGGTATCAGGGTGATTTACACTGATAAAATTAGCCCTGAGTCCAAATAATACACAACCCACATTGTCCACTGAGGTTTGGTGTTCAACCCTCGCCACGTCTACTTCTTGGCCGTTGTTCACTTGAGTCATACTGTATGAAGTTTTTTGGCACACTAATTCCATCTAGGCCCTATTATTTCAATCCAAACTAAAAGAGCAATGTTTTCTGTATTTTAGTGAGAGAATTTTGATGTTGTAGAATAGAACGCGGGAGTGTTTTGCGTCGGTTGATGGGAGTGGTTCGACAGGTAAGGCTGTGTCGAAGCATTTGCCTTGCGATGAGTACCCAAAGCCTCGGCAACGGATATATTTTACGGTACACGGATCCTTTTCGAGGCACTCACTCCTGTCGGTCTAAACGAATCGGCCATTTCAGCAAGTAGACGGAATTAGCCATTACATCTCGAAGGAGGCAGAATGAGACCCTTCTTGGTTAATAGACATGATACGGAGAATGCGACTAAATATGGGGCAGCATTGGGGTGGGTTTGTTTGACACGAAGAAAGAATTATCGCATTGTTGGATACAGCTGCTGATGAATTCGTTTCTCGTAGGTCCTCGCCTGGAGTAACGAACGCGTCCGACTCATTTGCTTTCGGTATGCCACCCTCGAAGTACATGGCGCACGCCAGCCAATTATCGCAAAGCATATCACCATCATACCCAAGCGCCTCACAAGGCTCTCAGGTTCGTGATACTTGAATCTTGAATCTACGATGTTTTGCTGATAGAAATTCTCCTCATAACAACCCTCTCTCAGCGACAGGTGACCCAGGGGACAGCGCAACCGTTGGTCTCTCTTCAAAAGTACTCGTCGCAGCCCCTGCTGCGCGTGAAAAATGGACAGGAGAAGAGTTTTTCGAACTTGACGAATTCACTTCAAAGATTAATGCCGCCTTGCAGTGAGTCGCTCACATTGGTTCCGACAATGGCTGATTATGGGGAGATTTTTCAACATCGGGTGCAATGTGTGCAGATTGCAGTGAGGAAACGAGCCATAAGGTCGAGAGTCTTTGCAACCGAGTTGTTGGAATCGCAGAGGACATTTCGCAGATGAAGACCGACTTGGGACACTTGAAAGACCACTCATGTATGCTTTGTTGAAGCTGTTGCTAGAACATGGACTGCCAAGGTGCTCATATGGTTGACCTGTTGTCCTGCAGGTGAAGATCAAGAGGGTCAAATTCGACAGCTTATCATTCAGACGGTAGGTTTGTCCTGTGATGTTTGCCGATTGCAGATCGCTGAGGCTTATGCGCTTGGAAACAGGTGGAGTCTGCAGTTAATAAAGGCATGACAGAGCTTCGTTCGGACATGATGAAGAACATGTCAACCATGCTGAGGAATCAACAGCGTGTAAGCGATTTTCGTTCGACTTTTCGTTTTCGAAGATGCGATAACTATGAACCTTTCAGGAATTCGAAGGCAAGGAGCTGAATCTTTCGGCAATGGTTAACAAGCAAGAACATCCTCAGCGTCATCTAAATGGCCATGGTCAGCTGAAAAAGAGACAGGAAGGGAAGATGACTGATTCTATGCAGGTAACACAGTTTTTTTCTCTCTTGTTGCCATGTACCCGTCGTGCCTTGTTTATTGCTCACACAGTTGTTTCACAGGTGACCAAGAATCAGAACCATGAATTGATGCAGTTAAGGTGGGACATCATTGGACTGTTTCCTTCCATTTCATTTGATTTCCACGTTCGCATGCCTCACCTGTGTCATTTCTAACAGCCCCATCTGTCTGAGCAATCCTCGACACGAGACTACCGGGGAGATGTGGCCAATGGCATTGCAGAATGATCAAAATTGGAAAGCAAGTCAGGGTGACTACATGAGTATGATGCCGTGCCCACCAGCGCTCGAGGTAGGCTGTTAGGGCATTGCCCATGCCACCAGTTTGGGTGATTGCTGGTGAATCTCACTCTTCTGTGTGTGCAGGATTCACTTCCTGTAGCACAATCGAGCAAGAAGAAGACTTCAACGTCAAAGAGGAAGCGGCCAGCTGTGGGGAAACAGCACAAGATTGATGAATACAGCTCTTTCCACCTTCCAACTGTTACCAAATTTCCAAACAGCCTCATAGAATCTGGTGCAGCAGATGTGGAAGCCTCGTTCTGCACCAAAGAAGATGAGGATGCAGTGAAGAAGATGGTGCTGAGAGCAAGGAAGAAAAGAAAGGTGAAAAACACCAACAGTTGATTCGGGGCATGAGGTTGCTTGTGAGGACCAAGTGCAATGATTCCATGCCGCTAGCATGAGGAAAATCGAGCTACTGCACTACGCCCTACTTTACTTTGTTGTTTCACTTCTGTGCTGAACAATCTTTATTATTTGTATCAAGTGTTCTTGTGGGCTTCAGATTTGCACACTAAGCTGGGTGCATGACTACGGCAAATTATATATACCGTAGCTTAATACACTGCCGATCAATGTTACGACCACGAATTAGTAGCGATCCACGTTATCCAACCACCTGCCAATATCGCAATTAGTTACTCTCCCTTACCAATTTAGCTACACGTGGCAGACGCAGCACAGCATGCCCACCAAAGGCCAAGGAGACTCGGGCTCTCGTGTCGCATTCTTGCTCCGGTTTCATGCAGAGCTCCAGCGTAGATTCCTCCACGCGGGCCAGAGCGAAGCTGGCGCAATACCAGAGCATTGTCGCCGCAATCGCCTGGCGACTGCGTGCAGAACGGCGATGGCTGTGCGACGTGATGGGGCTGCTTGCGACAGGCGGAATGCAGTTCGCGCTCCGCGCCGTCCCAATCAGAGAAGTGTACTCAAGCTTCGAAGCTGACGGAAACTGACGGAATGAATGTCTCTCATGGGATGAGTGGCGCCCTTTCCACCTTGCTGAACACCTCACCTATTGCGTCTCAGATGGCTTGAGGTCCCAAAGAAGAGTGATTTGCCGCGCTTTAATCCGGTCTTTCTCGCCTCCTTGGAAGGCAGTGCGGCCGTTCTCAACCCCTTCTCTCATCGCCGTTCAGCTTTCCTCCGCCACTCGTTACCTGCCTTCCTCCGGTGACCTTTGAGTCGACTTAAGAGTCACTGCGGGCTTTCTTTATCAGCCTTCCTCCTCCCTTTCCGCCGCGTTCGGCGGCAAGCTCCTCGCCAGCCATGGCGGCCTCCCTCCTGGCGTCCGCGCTCTTCCTGCTCTCCTCGCTCATCTCCGCCATCCTCTTCTCCCCGCACTCTCCCCCCCTCCTCCTCGCGCTCCCGGGGGAAGTTCGCCGGATCTTCCTCCCCGCGCTCGTCCCGTCCGCGATCGCGCGCGCGAGTGCCAGGGGCGGATGGGTGGGGGGAAGGCAGCGCTTGGGTCTGCCGTCTTTCATCATTGCAGCTGATGGTGGTGAGTCATCTGTATGGCTGGTGGTGAATTTTGACTGCCGCGAATCTTGATATGGATTGTCAGTTGCGGGTTCTGAAGTGAAGTATAGGGGGTCCTGTGTAACCTCTAGTTCTCAGATGCATGGCATGACTTGTGATGTTCCGCTTCTGGCTCTTTCCGTCGGCTAGTTCTGTTCAGTTTTAGTTCAGCTTGGTTTTGCTCTGTTTTGTTTTGTTGGTTATTGTTTATGTGCTGGTTTATCGGAGTGCCGTTGTTCTGTTAAGTCCTGGTTGTGATGTTGTGCGCACACACAGCTAGTTTAGGCAGTGCAAGGAACGGACAGATAGGCAGCACTTGAGCGGCTGGGAGCAGTGACTGTGTGCAGGAGGCAGTGAGCCTAGATTGATTTTCGTTTCGTTGTAGAAAGCTGGTGATTTGCTCAAAGGTCGTTTCTGGTAGGCAAGGCTGGCTGCTGCAGATAGGAAAGGTTTCGCCTTTCCACGGCCCACGGGTTTTGAAGTGTCTGTTTCGTGAGGCACAGGTTCTACATCTGCCTGTTTATTTGGTTTTTTGTTTTCCACTCCTGTACTTGTGGGTGAAAGCGTTTGAGTGAAGCGTTGTACTTGCATGTTTCCTATATGCAAACATAGCTTCTACATTTCATGTCTCAAATCGGTTCCCACTACCTTTTGCCTGTGCTGTATCTTCCTCCTCATGCAGATCCGTCCCCTTTCCTCCTAGATCTTATCTTACTCCTCCTTTTCCCCATTCGTCGTTCCTCTATTCCCCTCTCCAGCAGCCCATCCGTCCCTACGCATGGTTCCACCTGCTCAGTCCGACCTCCCTGCCGAGGCTCTACTGGGGCATGCTGTATCTGGCGCGCGAATGGCTCTTATCCTCTCCTTTCAGGGCGTCTTATCTCATTCCCCTTTCTCTCTTCGTTCTTTCCCCTTTCTCCTCTCCTTTTGGGGCGTCTCATATCACTCGTCTCTTTCCCCTTCCTTCGTTCCTTTCTTTCCCTCTGCAGCAGCCCATCCGTCCCTCCGCATAGTTCCGCCTGCTCAGTCCGACCTCCCTGCTGAGGCTCTACTGGGGGAGGCTGTATCTGGCGCCGTGCATGGCACTCCAACCAACAAGGGGGATGGTTCCAGGCCCCCCCTTTCCGCCTCCCCTGATGCAAGCCTGGCGGATGTTGGCGTGGGGGGGCTCGGGGAGGGGAGGCGCGGAGTAGGGATTGTTCTCCCTACCGTTGATATGAGTGCAGGGGAGGGGAGGGAGGAGCAGGAGCAGGGGCAGGCGCAGGAGCATTGGCAGGCAGAGTTGCGGCAACAGGAGGGGGGTGTGGGGAGGGATGAGGAGTGGAGTGCGGCAGTGGAGAGGGCAGTGGAGGAGGCAGTTTCAGACGCCTTCTCCCGCGCCCAGTTCGTGCTCGCCTCTCTTGATTCCGTGCGTCGGGCAGCTCGGGCAGCGCAGAAAGCCTTTTCTGACCGGAGCTTTGTTGCTCTTGTGGAGGAAGAAATGACATTGCATTTTGGGGGGGACGGGGTGGGAGGGATCGGTGAGGCGGTAGATAGTGGGAAGGGGGATGAGAAGGGGTTGAGGGGCATTGAGGTGGGTGTGGGGGGGAGAGTGGGGGAGGAGGCAAGGCGGAGGGCGGAGGCAGTGGTAAGAACGGTGGTGGTGATGATGGGTGAGAGGGGGGAGGAGGGCGTGGAAAGCACTAGGATGGGCGCAGAAGGGGAGGAAGAGGAAGGAGAGGAGGGCGAGGAGGGACAGGAGGGAGAGGAGCAGGGAGGGGAGGAGAGAGGGGAGGGAGCTGCTGGTGGTTCTACTGGTAGGCGCTTCAGGCTTGCACAAAGGCTCAAGGGATTGGGAGACGTGGCACGAGACAAGGTGTGGGACATGGCCGACTCGTTTCTCTCTCGCTTGCGGGCGGCCAGGCAGAAAGTGGTCAGTGCGGAAGAGTTTCTTGCTGCCCGGGTGCAAGATGCTGGCAAGCGTGTTTTGGATCGTGTGGTGGAGAGCGGTCGGGCAGCCAGGGAAGATGCTGAGGCTGCCCGAGATGCTGTGATCGCGACCGGCCGGGCAGCAAAAGAAAAGGTCGAGGCAGCTTGGGAAAAAGCGCATGGAGCCGGGCAGGCTGCTGTGGACACAACCGTGGGATTTTGTGCCCGGGCAGCAGAATTCGGGCAGGACGCAGTTGATAGGTGCAGGCAGGCCGGGCAAACTGTGTGGGAGGGCGGAAGAAAAACAGTTGGGGCAGTGGAAGGGGGAGTGAAGGGCGCAGTGAAGGGAGTGAGGGAGGTGGTGGAGGGGGTAGAGGAGGCAGTGGAGGATGTGAGTGAGAGAGTAAAAGGGGTGGGGAGGTGTGTGGTGGAGGAGGGTTTTCATCCTCATACTCACGAGCACGGGTATCAGCATAAGCATGAAGAGGCAGGAATGCCTCCCGCCCCTGCAGCACGCACGGCCTTCCTTGGGCCTGTGTACGATGTAGCCACAGAGGCTGTGAGGATGGAGCATGAGGCGGAAGGGGAGAGGGGGGGAGAGGGGGTGGGGGAAGGTGTGGTTGGGCAGGTTGAGAGGGCGTGGGATGCTGCAAAGGGTCATGTGGAGGAAGGTGCGGAGAAGCTGCGGGGTGAGGTGAGGGAAGGTGCGGAGAATTTGCAGGAGGAGGTGAAGGAAGGTGCTGAGAAATTGCCCGAAAGGGTGAAGGAAGGTGCTGAGGTAGCATGGGAGGAGGCGAGGGAGAGAGGCAGCAAGATGGGAGAGAAAGTGAAGGAAGGTGCTGAGAAGGTGTGGGAAGAGGCGAGGGAGAAAGGTGGGAGGGTGGGAGAGCAGGTGAAGGAAGGTGCAGGGAAGGTGTGGGAAGAGGCGAGGGAAGAGGGCAGCAGGGTGGGTGGGAAGCTGAGGGAGAAAGCCGGGGAGGGATGGGAGGCAATGGAGGGGGCTGGAGAGAAGATGAGGGAGGGAATGAGGAGGGAGGGTGGAGGCGAGAGGGAGGAAGGCGAGATGGGCGATGGGATGTGGATGGAGCTGCAGGGAGTGCGCTTCTTCCAGCCTGCACGACCCAAGGCAGGAGGCAAAGAAACGGCAGCGAAAGGAGAGGGAGCAGAGAAGGACGCAAAGCGGCAGGAGCAGATGCAGCAGTGGGAGCAGTGGGAGAGAGTGAACCCACCATTCCCCGCAAGTGCTCTAATGTCCCGCCTGCCCCTCTGGTTCCAACGCCTCGTGTTGCCCATCCCCCTCCTCTCCCACCTCTCCTCCCTCCCCTCCTCCCCTCCTCTCCTCGTTCCTGCTCTCATCCGCACAACCCACCTCGCTGCTTTCTCGCTCGCCTACACACTCACTCTCGTCCTCACCTTCCTGCCCATCGGGCAGCTTCGAAATGTTTTCTCACCTTCGCCTGCCCAGTTGGGTTCGATGGTCGAGCGGGCGGTTCTGAGGGTGCTCTTTGCCACGTCAGCACTCTGCCTTCTCTCCCTCTCCCTCGCACACTCCAGCAATCCCCTCTCCCCCTTCCTCCCTTCTCCGTCCCCTCACCTTGGCCCTGCGTGGGGAGAACCGGGGGAAGATGGGGAGAGTGGCGGAGGAGAGGGGGAAGCGTGGGCGGAGGGGGCAGGGGGGATGGGAGGGGGGGTGGCGGAGTGGGGGGATGAGCTGCAGCTGTGGCTGCTGGCGGCAGCAACGGTGTTGTCGGCACTGCTGGCGCTCATTCTGCAACCGCTGTTGACCTATGTGAGCGTCACACACACATCGTGTTCGTCTCGCACCCCTCGCCCTCACCTCTCATATCCTACCCAAAATTGCTGTCGCGTTTTTTTTTTCCCCTTCTCGTTCTCGTTCTCCCCTTTCTCCCCACGCATATCAGAGCATGGAGGAAGCAGCAGCGCTCGCTCGCGGCCCCTCTTCTCCCACGCCTTACCACAAGCGCCCCCGCTCCTCCTGGCGCCTGCGCCGCCACTCTGCACCACACGCCACCGCACCAGCAGCACCAGGAACCCCTCCGCAAACCCCTTCACCTCCGGCTACTACTTCTGCGGCACACACTGGTGAAGCTCCTATTCCTCCCGCTGCTTCGTTTGCCGAAGCTACTGCTGCAGTGGCCTCTTCTTTCGTTGCAGAAGAAGCTGCACCAGAGCTGGCCACTGCTGCTGCTGCAAGGCCAGCGCAGGAATCAGAGGTGGTTGAAGGGATGGAAAGGGAGGGGGGGGGAGGGGCTGGAGGGGAGAGGGTGAGGGGGCAGCAGCAGCTGCTGCAGCAGTGGCAGCAGCATCTGCAGTGGCGGGTGCGAGTGCTGACTGTGCTCAAAAGCGTGGCTACACATGCCTTGCTGGCGGTGCTGACGTGGCACCTGTGGCACCTCGCATGTCGTGTGCTCGTGTAATGGGATGTGCTGGCGTGACGTTCACGACAGTGAGTTACAAATACGTGTACAGTTTGTAAATGTGGGAAGAATGGATCTGGGACTGCTGGGGTAATGTCACATGTGATCATGCATACCCCCTTTTTTCCCCCTTAACATGTGCTAAGGTAAGCTAGAAGTAGAGAATTTTCTACTTGCATGATTTTGCTTTGTTTTGTGATCGAATTGATGATTTCAATCTGTTAATTTCTCCATTTCTTTCCATCCTCTACTGAGGGTTGACGTTGTCTAGGTGCCAGATAGCTAGGAACGACAATTAAGCTACTTCTCATCTTCGCATAAAACTACTAATTCAAAACAGCAATGCCTCTTGTATAGAAAGATAAGAGACACTAAAGTCATTTGCAGCCTACGTAAAACCTTTGCGCCGTATAAGACATTTCCTGTCTCCTATACTGTCCACACCCTGTTGAAAATGTGGGGTACTACCGGCATGAAAGGCTGTTTGAAACAGCTTAGAGGAGCTGTCAAAAGAACCGCTTAGAGGAGCTTTGCTTTGACGCGCTCTGATTCTTGAGGAGATGTGCGTCGAAAAGCAGAGCAAGTGCGTCTAGCGCTCCGAGATCTGGCTGAAGCCTGCCCCGCCCGCCCTGCGACGCCGCATGATGAGCACCACTCCCAGGACGATCAGCACCACCACGAACAGACAGCCAATCACTATGGCCGCTATCGCTGCACCCGAGAGGCCTGGTAGTTTTTTGTGGGGGGGAGAGGAGGGCGGGCAGGGAAAGGACGACAACAAGAGAGAGAAGAAGATGAGCTCATGTCTGATAGCGTGTAGACAGGCGATCATTATCGCTGCATTTGAGAGGCCTGGTGGGGCGAGGGGAGAAGGGTATGGGTGGGGATGGCTGGTGGAACTTAGTCGCTAGGGAAACAGCAGAAGGGAAGACTAAGAGGACCACTTCCGAGAGACAGCCAATCACTATGGCCACTTCGCCATGGCAGAGAGGCATACGTATGGTATAGAAAGAGGGCCACAGGTATGGAGGAGAAAGGGCGTGGATGGGTGATAAGGAGTGGACTAGAAGGAGTGGGGGCCACATGAAGGAGAGCACGGTGCAGGAGAATGGCGCAGTCACGGTGGTGGCTGTCAGCTCCACTCCACTGCAGCCAGGGGAGGGGGCTTGGGTTGGGCGGGGCGTGCACATGCCTTCCATTGCAGAGCTTCGTTCAGCTTGTATTGTTGAGTTGCTTTGCCAACGCAAGAGAAGGCTCTCAGGAAAGTTCTTTTTCTGTGTTTTGCTGATTTGCTTGTTTGTTTTCACCAGCCTCTCACGACGACACCCATACACGCTCGGTTCCATCATGCGCATTCTCTCACCTGAGCTCTCCGTGGTCGTCTGCGGCACCACTTCAAACAGCTCCACACCGCTGATCACCGCTGGCAACCGGCTCCCGCCGACCGTCCGCACGCCCACCTCCAGATCCTCCCCGTAGTTGGACGAATACTGCGAGTAGTTGAAAAACACCGGCACCACCAGCGCCGTTAACGGAGCCACCTTAGCGCGGATGTCGAAGCCGCCGGCCTGGTTACCAATGGACTTGACCACGTTCCCGCTGCCCAGCAGAATCTCGAACACGCGATCGCCGGGCTGCGCGGACGGATCGAGCTCGACGAAATAGAATCGGATATACCACATGTTGTTCTTGTCCACTGGCAGCACCGTCATGCGAAACCCCGTCGCCTGCGACAGTTGCGACGGTCGCCCGGCGACGCCGCTCGCGTTCGACAGCGGCGTCAAGGCGGCTCGGGCAGTTTCGAACACCGCCGGGGGGAGGAAGTCAGGCGCGACTCCCGTGCCTGCGATCGGTGCTGTGGCTGAGTCTTTGGTCAGGACGGTGAAGTTGCCTTGCTCCGGCCGAACGTCCTCCATCCAGGTTCGGAAGCCCGGGTCTGCAGGTTCGGGCCCGACCTTGCCACCACCCATGTTGAGCCGAACGTACGTGGAGAGGATGACCTTGTTGCCGAGCGTCGCGGCGTCGTACGCGTCAGTGTCCTGCGGGAGGACTTCTAACGAGTTCACTATAGCGGGGCCGGGCGACCCGGGCTGCGCCTGGAAGCACACGGAGAGCTTCCCGTTCAGGGCATACGCGATATAGTCAGAATAATACGCTCCGCTAACGAAGTTGGACTGTACGACGGTCATGTCGACGCTCTCGACTACAGTGTTCTGCACGAGCACGCTAAAGTACGGCGGCATGTTCTTATCGTCGTAGTTGTAATACGCGAAGCTCACGCGCACGAGATAGCGGCCCTCAATAACGGGGATATTGTAGCAGCCGGTCGTGCCGACGGCGAACGCCCGAAGCGTCGACTCTACAGTGTTGAGCGAAAAGGAGTTGGCGGATGCGATGGTGTGCGACTCGCCGCCGTTGGAGTATTTGTCGCCCTGCCATTCCAAGCCGTTGGCCGACGTGGGGCTGTCGGAGCCGCAGTCGATGCGCAGCGGCGCTGCGGGTGAGGGGAGAGACGCGGATAGGGCACGGGAGGGCAGGGGAAGTTGGGTGAATGTAGGAAAAGATAGAGGAGGGCAGGGGAAGGCAAAAAAAAGAAAAGGGATAGGGAAGAGTAGGAGAAGCCAGAGGAAGGTTCAAAGGAGTAACGCGGAATCGGGCGGCGACATAGGTTGAGGCATAACGCGGCATGAGGTGCGAAGGACCGACGTGCTACATGTGAGCGAGTATAGAGAGGCAAGGAGAATGGGTCGACTGAGAAAGAATGGCACGATGCTCAAGAGTCGATGAGCTGTAGCAGAACTTGGCTGGGTTCATTGTAGCGTAGTGTGAGTTGGTGAAGTGACCAGACAAGTCAATATGGATGGCACGCGTATGGATTCCACAACAGAGTGACAGCATAATCGCACTAAGCATACACCCGGTGAATTATGAGTCGATTACAACACACGATAAGTATACACCCGTACCGAAGAACTAAGTTGTTCAGCTATGGTACCTTGAGTGCTTCTGTAAGCTGCTGCAATCGTCGCCACGGATAGGATTCCCAACACCACGCTCAGAAGCCGCGGTCGGGTCATTCTGCCGCTCGACTCTCGACAGCTGGTGACAGTAACCTGAATAACAAGCTTTCGCTTCTTTAGCACCACGAGGAGTAGGCGATCTGGACTGAAATGACCTCGTCGGGTCGAGAGAGCTTAGCAAGGAATATGCTGGATTAAGTATGATCAAGCACAGCAGGTGTACAGGGCTTGCCTAATCTGCTCGTCTCCGAGGCGAGTTCATAAGAAACGCTTCGAAACCAATGCTGGAAACAAGGCGATGAATTTTATTCGACTAGCAAGCTATGTGATTTCCAAGGATGATAGATACCCCGATGTTCCACACGTCACCCCGGTTGCTTTCACACATGTACCCAATTTCGAGCCTCAATCTGCTTGGGCTCCAAACCTGGACCCGTAAGGGCCTGTTTAGGAAGAATGGGGCACTTCGAATACAGAGTCAGGAGTTCCCTGACTGAAGATCGAAATCGCATAAGCCAATGACTCCGGCTTCGTCAGCCTCTTAGCGACCTCGACGAGCATTATCAGCGGGATTTTCCACTCGTAATAAATGACGATGGGGTACCAAATAAATGTGAATACGCCTTCAAAGACGGCATTTGCTTAGAAAGAAGGAAGTCAGCGAACGACAGCTGCGACTTTTCTTGGGAGCATCAGCCTCGGTTCTGACAGGGTAAGCGATGCGACGCCTCCTCCCGCCACAGTACGACCGCGTCGCCCAAGCCAGACGTCAGCGTCGCCGTCAGTCAGCACAATGGCCGTCGAACCCAACGGATCGTGCGGTGCTGCGTGATTCATCGGAGAATCGTTCCGCTGCGAAGCGCTTCGCGATGCGATTTCCCACATCGAAAGTGTCGGTCAGGTTGTCTGACGTTTCACAACTACAACTAGACCGCAACACGCCTATTGTGGCGCCAGCAGAAAAACTACAGTTGTCGTAAAATGACAGCAGAAGTCTATATACTGTATTTTTGGCAATTTGCCATCATTCGGACATCAACAAAAAATCTGAACCAGGAAACACTACGCTCCCCAATCCATCAGTTCCAGGGCCATGTTGATGCATTTCGCCATTTGAAAGGGCACTGCATTGAAGATCCTGGTGTACCATGGTTTGCATCCCCGGTCATTGCAGGACACGCGCTTGATTCCGGCTTGCCAATATAAGCAACTTTCGAGAGACGGTGAAGTGTAGATTCAGCATACGCAGGCCCCTCAGTGTACTTGGGGTGCTCAAATAGAGGCACTCCTTTCCACCAAAGGAGAAAGGCCTGATACAGGGGGATAAGGGGGAGGAGGGGTGAGTGGCGAGTGAGGTAGGGGTGAGCGAGTGAGGGGTGAACGAGTGGAGAAATATGAGCATAAGTGGGTTGATTTGAAGGCACGTGGATCAGTCTAGAGTCCAGACAAAATGCATGCAGCAAGTCATAGAAAACTTAAAGAAGACATGCAAAACGGATTCACAGAAAACTTGCAGGAGAAGATATGCAAAACAGACGGAGGACGAAGATAGCGAGCGATAAGCGAGGCTACGAGGCAGAACAGGCAACCCCCTTGCATGCCTCATGCGTCTCATAACACTCACAAGTTTCATTTTTCAGGTACCTCAAAAGCCCTCACATGCCTTACATGTCCCATAACACACGCAAGATGCAACCTGCACCAACGCACCTGCCAGTAGATCCAGAAGGCCACGCGGTGCGGCATGCAGCAGAGCCACCAGCGGCAGCGCACCTCCCTGCTCCACTCCGCTACGACCCCGTGCAACGAGGGTGCGTGGGCGGAGGACGGCGGGTGTGGGTGAGAATGGGAGGGAGTGAGAGGGCGAGGCAGGGTGGGCACGGTGGGGAGGGTCGGGGGAAGGAGGTACGGCTGCTGCGCTGCAGGCAAGCAGTCGATGTCAAGACATGCCACGAATATGCTGCTGCCCATGCTGCTGCTGTTGTTGGTGTTGGTGTTGGTGTTGGTGTTATCACCAATGCTCCCCACACCCCCTGCCACTGCCTCCTCTCCACTTCCCACACATTCTCCCCCTGCTCCTTCCCCTTTCCCCTTCTGTGCCTCTTGCCCTGCTGCAGCCTCCTTGCAGCCCATCACAGGGTGCAGAGCGGTGATGTGCAGTGAGATGCGGTGGGAGGGGGGCAGAGCGCGCATCACCCATGTGGATTGCATGTCCTGACAGGGCGGGGGTGGGGGGGAGGGAGGGTCATGGGCATGGGGATACGAAGAAGATGGGGATGGGGATGGGAGGGGTTTAGGGATTGTTGGGGTATGGGATGGGGATGGAAGAGTTGTGTCAATTAAAGAGGCAGGCGGATGAAAGAGGCACGCGGATGACAGAGGTTTGGGACACGTGTGAACAAATGTGGATGAAAGAGGTTTGGGACACGTGTGAACATATGTGGTGACTTGTTAGTCGACTCGAAGTCTGAATCCTCTGTGTGTGCTGTGCTGTGTACGATTGCCATACGGGAGGGTACTAGTATTGAGGAACGTAGAACAACAGGCGAGCAATGGAGGGAAGCGAAATGCACCATGAAGGGCGAGACGTGCAGGGGCTTGGGCACGTGGTCTAGCAGAGGGGCAAAGAGGAAGGTGACTCGGTCGGTCCATGGGGTGTTGGACACCTGAGTGGTGGGGGTTGGGGTGTGGGGAGAAAAGGGGGGACAGGGCCGGATAGGGTTGGGGATGAGAGCAGGGGATGGTGGTGAGGCAAAGAGGAAGGTCACTCGGTCGGTCCAGGGGGTGAGTCGATTTTTGAGTCGACTCAAAAATCGACTCATCACACGGGGATGAGAGCAGGGGATGGTGGTGAGGCAAAGAGGAAGAAGACTGGGTCAGTCCAGGGGGTGTTGGACACCTGAGTGGTGGTGAAGGGTTGGGGGAACAGGGAACGCGTGGAGAGCAAGAAGGGGGGAAGGGTTGGGGAGGAGGGCAAGAAGGGGGGAAGGGTTGGGGAGGAGGGCAAGGGATGGCGATGCGAAGAGGAAGGTGACTCGGTCGGTCCAGGAGTGCTGGTGGGGGGTTATGTGGTTGCATTGCCGGGAGACGGAAAAGAAAAGGAAAGGATGGGAAGGTGAGTTGGTCGCCCCCAGGGGTGTGGAGGCATGGTGGTGGTGGTGAGGGGGAAACGGAGAACGAGAGGGTGAAAAGGGGGATACGATTTGGGTTGGTGGGGTGATAGGAACGGCTAAGAAGGGTAGATGGTTTGGTCGCCCTGGGGGGTGTTGGAGGCTGGGAAGACACAGGGTGGTGTGGTGAGGGGTGCGAGAGAGGGGTGGAGGATGATGAGATAAGAGCGGAAGGGAGGGCACACCGGGACGGGGGAAGGGAGGGGTTTGAGGAGGGGAGGTAGCAACAAGGATTCGTGTGATAAGCTCAGTGACTTGGTCAATCCACGAGGTATTGGACAGGTGGGGTGGGGTGGTGTGAGAGGGTGTGGATGAGTGTGATAAGCTCAGTGACTTGGTCAATCCACGAGGTATTGGACAGGTGGGGTGGGGTGGTGTGAGAGGGTGTGGATGAGCGAGATGCTAACTGGAATGGGGGAAGGATAGGGGAAGAGGTTGGGAATCACTTATGGGAATTCTCCTATAAGGAAAGAGGTCGGGAAAAAGGCAGCTCTTGCAGGGCAAACGCTGAGACGATGAGAAACACAGCAAGTGGCACCTTACCTCACCGCTCTGAACAGCAGTGCAGCGCACTGCATCTCACCTCGCCAATGCAGACTGCCAGGGAGTCAGCCGGGGGAAAAAGCGACTCCTCCTCACACTGCCCCCCCTCGCTCTTGCTGCTACCATTAGTGGTGGCCGTGACAGTGCCGGTGGTGGTGCTGCCGCAGCCATGGTAGCAGTAGTAGACGCTGATGGGGTTCTGCTCGTACCCCATGCTCGTTGGGTTGGTGAGTAGAAAGCTGTTTGGCAACACACACACAGGGGGGGTAAGGGGTTGTGGTGAGGAGGAGGGGGTAGTGTTGCAAGAGGGTCGCTACTCCAAGCAGTAGTAAATACTGATGGGGTTCTGCTCATACCCCATGCTCAGTGGGTTGGTGAGTAGAAAGCTGAGAGCAGGGGGGTGCAGATAGAGAACAGAGGGGGTTGCAAGAGGACATGTGAGCAGTAGTAGCAGCAGCAGCAGTAGTAGACGTTAATGGGGTTCTGCTCGTACCCCATGCTCGTTGGCTTGGTGAGTAGAAAGCTGAGAGCAGGGGAATGCAGGAGCACGAGGGAAGGGGGTGTGGTGTGGAGGAGGAAGAAATGCTGTAGTGGAGTGGTTGATGGCGCTGATGGCGTTACTATCTAGCAGTAGTAGACACTGATGGTGTTCTGCTCATACAATTTAGGTTGGTGAGTCGTGACCAGGAAGCATGCAAGAGGAAGACGCAGATACAGGTACAGGGGGGAGTAAATGAGTTGAGGTGAGGAGGAGGGGGGGAAATGTTGTGAGAGGTTCGTTTGTTACTCATTAGCAGCAATGCACACTGATTGGGTTCTGCTCATAATCCATGCCCGTTCGGTTTGTCACCAGGAAGCTGAGGGCAGGGGGATGCAGGAGCACAGGGGAGGTTTGACAAAAGGGGACACAGAGGGGGAGGGTTCAGGGCGTGTGTGAGAAAGCGGCAGCAGTACGCACTGATGGAGTTGTGCTAGTAGTATGGTACCCCATGCTCCTTGGGTTGGTCAGTAGGGAGCTGACAAGAGGGAGACGCAGGAGCAAGGAGCGTGTTTGGTCTGGTGGATAATCGAAAGGCGCACAGGAGAAGAGGGTTCAGGGCGTGTGAGTCCGTTGCAGACATGCATGGGCGATACGTTTACCTTATCATCAACTCACATCGGCCCATCGGTCCCCAGCGAACGGGCGAGCATCGTTAACCCAGTGTCACCCCATCTTGCAGCATCGTTAACCCAGTGTCACCCCATCTTGCAGCATCGTTAACCCAGTGACACCCCATCTTGCAGCATCGTTAACCCAGTGACACCCCATCTTGCAGCATCGTTAACCCAGTGACACCCCATCTTGCAGCATCGTTAACCCAGTGACACCCCATCTTGCAGCATCGTTAACCCAGTGACACCCCATCTTGCAGCCGATAAATTGATTTTGGTTGCATCATCTGCGATCTTATATTATCTTCAATGCACACTGGCCCACTAAGTACCAGCGAGCCTTGTCAGCCACTGCGCTGAGCTGGCGACAGCTGGACCACCCCTCCGGCCTCGCCTCCTCGTCGTGCTCACAGGCAAGTGTACAGTGCACACTCCAACCGACACATCTCATGGCAATGGTCAATCCAAATTTATGACACTTCATGGAACAAACAACTCTCATTGGCTCGTCCGCCCTAGCGAATGAGAGAGCCTCGCCACGCCAGGTAACAAGAGGTTGTACACTCCACTCCAACTGACACGTATCAAAGATATGACATCCGCCGCCTTACTCATATGGTTCATCATCAGTCCCCCAGCAAATGAGCGAGCCTCGCTGAGACACGGGGGTGCAGTGCAGTGCAGTGCAGTGCAGTGCACCCCGTCCAGCCTCGCTGAGACAAGGGGGTGCAGTGCACCGTCCAGCCAGCACATATCGCCGGACCCCCTCTGCTCATCGCCCAACTCGTATTCCATCAGAGGGGGGGGGGGGTTCCATTCCATCAGTCCCCTCGGTCCCACCCCACCCCACCCCACCCCATGCCACCCTCGTCACCCGACATGTGGTGCCATCGCTGGACCCCCTGTGGCCTCGCTCCCTCGCTCCCTCGCCTCCTCGCCTCCTCGCCTTCTGGGGGAAGTGTGCACTCCAACTGAAACATATCAATCCCGTCCCACCTAATCCCACCCAATTGCACCCGGAATTATCTACCACCCAACCCAGCTCACATTGGTCCGTCCGTTCCGGCGAACGAGCGCGCCTCATCAGCCGACATGTGGTGCTGCGCGGACGACCGCGCGAACCAATCAGGAGGAGCGTCGAGGTTGACCAGCGCGTAGCGCACCGCGTAGTTAAAGCCGTGCCGCGTCGGGTGGCTCCTATGGTGCGCCACGTGGCCGCCGTACAGCAACAGCGACGGGTATTGCTGGCCAATGGCGTTGCATGATCGTTCATTGTCCTTTTGTGTCTCCTCGTTGGGACCGCCGGCGGCTGCGGCATCCGCGCTAAGGAGAGGATCGTGAGGGGATCCGTTACAGGAGTCGGAAGGCGATGCGGCGTTTGCGTTTGCCACGTAGAAGAGGGACGAGAGAGGGGAAATGCAGAGCGATGCGGCGGACGCGGCGACTGATGCCACGTGGAGGAGGAACGCAGAGAGCAGGAGATGAAGCGAGCCAATCAGCGCGCGCGCGGCGATGGAGAATGCGGAGAGCAGCAGCGCCGCGGCTTGCGCTGATAACGGCGCTTGCGCCGCCGCCGACACGGGCGGTTGCGCCGCCGATATGCGCGCTTGAGCCGCCAGCACGGGTGCGTGCGCCATGAGCGGAGGAATGGGGCGACGCGCAGGGGATGGGCTAATAAGAACAACGACGATGAATATAGTATCTTTTGACTTATGCACGCGAGGCGCAGCGGCGCCGCGATTGGCGGCAGTAATCTAGGTGGCTTCGCATGGAATGACAGTCAGAAACGGCAGTCGCATGGAGTGGTTGGGAGGGGGGTGGGAGAGGGTGCCTGTGGGAGCTCGTATACTGCTCATAACCTTAGTTCGTGTCCGTAGGGTTGACATGTCAAGTGAGAGCGTGTCAACCCGAAGCGCATTCAAATTAGAGTGTCAAGAACTGTAGCGGAAGTGTCAAGTCGAAGCGCAGGTACGAACATCAGCGACGCAATTTCATTGGTTTGAGAATTTGTCATGGCTAGATCTGCTAGGCAATGAACAATTCAAAAGACATATTGTGTCCTGATTGGGCAGCATCTGGTCGTGAGATAGGTACCTGCGACAATCTTCTCTCGTTTGTAGGTTTGTCTGTGCCAATTTCAAAAGTGACGATTTGTATTGGCTGGCAACCTGCAATTTCTTGACACTCTGCCAACGTTGTTGGCAGAGTGTCAAAATGCCAAGTTGACACTGCCCACTTTGACATGTCATCCCTACGGACACGACCTAACTCAACAGCTTTACAACTGTAGGGGTACCGCTTGAAAAAGAGCAACAACCACACGAACCGTATCAAAGGGAAGCAATGGTGCAAAATGTTCTCCTAGACGACCTCGCGCTGCTGCCAACACAAAGATCCAACAGTAATTGGGTCTTGAACCGTTTTATTTAGAACAAATAGCCCCTTTAAACCTAATAACAAAATAATCAGGGTCAAAACATACGAGGCAAAAAACTCAAGGTCACTACTAAGGGTGCATTCCTGTGTGGACACAAATGTCTCAGTCCCCCCTTTCCCGAGTCGCGTCGAAACATTTTGTCAACCTCGCGTCCAGGGCTGATTTTATCAGACTATTTTAGTCTGATTGTCTGAAATCTCAGACTCTTTTTTTCGCCTTTCCTGAATTTTCAGTATTCCTGTATTTTGAACTCTGAAGGCCTCAGACCTGTTAGTTTTTCAACTCTGAAAATTTCAGAGCACTTCATTGTGCGATACTGAGACTCGAGACTACAGGGCCCTGAAAATGCCGAATTTCAGTCCTCCCCCCTCCCCCTCTCTCGAATTACATTCAATTCCCCCCCTGCCCCCCTCCCCCCTCCCCCTTCTCCCGCCCCCTCTTACTCCTGCTTCTCGCCAACTCCGCAACGTTTTCGAGAGAATTACTGTAGAACCATGTGTCAGAATATTATGCTCTAGCCTGTAGTGGGGTGCTCTATAGCGAGTACAACCCTTCTAGGGTTTGCTATTTGTATCCTCATTCTTGCTAGTGCAATTCACTCTCCTTACCCAATTCTCTCGACACTAAGCTACTAAGCCCATGGCTCCCAAGCCCACCTAACTCTACCTACTTCTCTCACATGGAATCAGAGCGATATGCTCCTGGCCTGTGGGCCCCACCTCACTGCTTCCGCTGCTACTGCTACTCCCTGTCCGCCGCGCGCCCCGTGGTGCGCGGCATCGAAATTAGGGTTTTTCAGCCCGCCGTGCGCCCCGAGGCGCGCGGCGGTTTTCTGCCCGCCGTGCGCCCCGAGGCGCGCGGCGGTTTTCTGCCCGCCGTGCGCCCCGAGGCGCGCGACGGGTTTCTGCCCCGTCACTCGGCGCGTCGCCCCCAGGAGGCGCTACGACGGGCGACGGGGACCCGCGCGTCGCCCCCCGTCGCCCGTCGTGGCCTGCGCGCGGCCCGTACAGCCGGCGCGCGGCCCGTACGGGCTGCGCCAGGCCCGCGCGCGGCTCGGGCCGCCTGCGCGCGGTTCGGGAGGCTGTGCCAGGCCCGTGGGCGGCCCGTTCTTCGCTGCCCCTGTCCTCCCCGCTGTCCCCCGTGCTTCTGAAGGCGCCCCACCCCTCCTTCTGCCCGTTCTCCTGGATTAGGGTTTGGGGGTGGGGGGTATGGGGGTGCAGCTTCTGTGTGCCGTTCCCTGCTCCTCCTCCTCCTCCGTCTCCCTGTGCTGCAGCTGCCGCTGAGGGGGGGTGGACCTGTTGGAGCCGTCGGAGTGGTACTAAGGGAGGGTGAAGGGGGAGTGGAGCTAGGGGTGAAGCAGGGGGTGTGTGTCAGGGGGGGTGGTACTGTTTGGGGGAGGTTGAACGGAGGTTGCCGTCGTGTCGCCAGCAGCACCTGTAGTCCGGGGAGTTGCTCCGGTAGCCCAGTCGTAGCCACCTGTGCCAGTCGCCCGTGGGTCCGTTGCTCGTCTGCCGCTACTTTTAGCCGCGGGGCCAGTTACTCCAGTAGTCCGGAGCGCTGTTCCGGTAGCCGCTGTGCCAGTGTGCCTCCTGTTGCCCGTGTGTCTGCAGCTTCAGCCGTCGCCTCCTATCTCCTCTCCTCTCACTGTCCCTCCTCCTCCTCACTTGCCCGTTGTGACTACCACTAGCTTTGCTCATAATTGTGAACTTTAAACTATTGCTTCCTGAACTTGTGCTCAGAATGTGTGGTGACATTGTGATCCACCCTGAGCTTGTTCTGCTTTGCTTGCTCTGCTGATTACACCCCACTTTGGCTATGGGGGTGTGTCAGAATATTATGCTCTAGCCTGTAGTAGGGTGCTCTATAGCGAGTACAACCCTTCTAGGGTTTGCTATTTGTATCCTCATTCTTGCTAGTGCAATTCACTCTCCTTACCCAATTCTCTCGACACTAAGCTACTAAGCCCATGGCTCCCAAGCCCACCTAACTCTACCTACTTCTCTCACACCATGTTCAGTGATTCCTTCTTACTCGCGTGGCCTTGAATTACTCGAGTGGCCACCAGAATTGGTGATAATTACTCGAGTGGCCACGCCAGGGGATTCTCGCACGCTTTGTTTTTTCCAGGCGCATTACCCTACGGAGGTTTGTAGCCCCGAATGTTTGTCTTGGTTATTGCGCGATCATTTATATCCGAATTTTATGTTCGTGACCCTATATGACCGCGCCTGAATGGACACGCATATAATCGACCAATCATGCGCGGCCATTAATGGTCGCGAGCATCATATATTAATGCCCGATCATACGGTAAACTGCAATGCCCGGGCGTCAATGCGCGGGATTTAATGACCGCGCATGATTGGTCAATTATATGCGTGGTGCCTTTTTTGGCAATGCGCGTCCAATCAGGCGCGGTCATATAATATCACGAACATAAATTTCGGATAATGAAAATCGCGCAATAATCATTGCAAAACTTTCGGGGCTACAAACCCCCGTAGGGTAATGCGCCGGGAAAACAAAAGCGTGCGGGAATCCCCTGGCGTGGCCACTCGAGTAATTATCACTAATTTTGGTGGCCACTCGAGTAATTCGAGGCCACGCGAGTAAGAAGGAATCACAAAACATGGTTTTACAGTAATTCTCTCAACGTTTTCCCTAGGCCAAACTCGCTCGACAGATACACGTTTTACCATGCTGACCTCGGGCTTTAACCAACTCGGATGCGGTTTTACAAACTTCAAACTTTTCAGACTAATGTTTTTTTTCAAACCTGACATTTCAGAGTACTCAGAACTTGGGAAATGACCATCAGACTAAACGAAGATTTTTTTTCTCCCCTGCCTCAGAGTGGTTTTTTTTTTTAACGTCTGCCCTGCTCGCGTCACAAAAAATGAATGTATCGCGATACTAGGCGACTGTCAACTGTTGTAGCCTGTAGTTAGGTTTGTCTTAGGGGGTATAGATGTTAGGGTTTGTTATATGTACCCCAACCCATATCAATGAACCAACACTTCTATTCTTGACATGGTATCACCTAGGTTAGGATCCTGTAGGATCCCGCTCCTCCCGTCCTCGTTCATCTCGCCCGAGCCTGTCTCACTCTGTCGTACTAGTTGCGCCCGTCTTGCCCGAGCCTAGCGCTGGCCCGATCTAGTCCCGTTCGTTCGTTACCGCCCGTTCCGCCAATCCACTTTCCCCGTAGCGTAGCGCCCTCCCCCCCCCCCCCCCGCTGCCCATCGCGTCGCGCTTCCCCCCTGCTGCCCGTCGAGTCGCGCTTTCCCCCCGCTGCCCGTCAACACGCGCCTTCCCCCCGCTGCCTGTCGCGTCGCGCCTTCCCCCCGCTGCCTGTCGCGTCGCGCCTTCCACTGCCCCCCGTCGCGTCGCGCTCTCCCCCACTTCCCGTCCCGTCGTGCCCTCCCCAGCTTCTCGTCGCGACGCGCCCTCCCCCCGGTGCCCTACACGACCATTCGCGCGCCGCGCCTGCCCGTTCGGCCCGCCGCGGGCCTGCTCGTCCCGCCGCCGCGCCTACCCCTTCTGCCGCCCGCCGCCGCGCCTACGCGTCAGGCCAGCCGTGGGCCCGCTCGTCCTGCCGCCGCGCCTACCCCTCCTGCCCGCCGTCGCGCCTCCTAGTTAGGCCCGCCGTGGGCTCGCTCATCTCGCCGCTGCGCCTGCCCGTACTGCTCGCCGCGGACCCTCCCTTATAGCCGCCACGGGCCCTCCCTTTCAGCCGCCGCGCCTACCTGTTCAGACAGCCGAAAAGCCTCCTCGTTAGGACCGCTGCGGGCCCGCTCGTTAGGCCCTCCCTTCACACTGCTGCGCCTACTCGTTCAGTCCACCGCGGGACTACCCCTTGCGCCTGTCGCGCCTGCGTTTTGCACCTGCCACGGACTTGCCTTAGCCGCCCTACCAGTGCCGCCCGCAGCCGGACTTGTCGTTTCCGCTTACGCTATGGCGACCCCTAGGGTTCTTCGCTTTGACGCTGACGGTAGACCGCTCGAGTTTCCGGTCTGGGTCCTACGCGCGCGTCGCCTTTTAGAGAGTCAGGTCCAGGTGGGCGAGTCCCTCTGGGCGCACGCTACTGGTGCCCTTCCTGTGCTCGACGACCCTACGCCTTTAGGCCCTGCCCCTTACGACGCCGCCAGAGACCGCTTTACCCGCCAGCGTGCTGACCTGACGGCGTGGAAGTCGCATGAC